AGTTCAATTTATTTTATTTATGAATTATTTTAATTCTCTATCTCTATATTTAAAGAGAGAGAAATTTTCCATTATACATATATAATTAATGATAATTTTGTTTTGGAATCTTATTTATGTAGTTTGAATAAGTGAGTTGAACTGAATATAGTAAGCTGAATTTGAGTTGAAAAATCTTTCATATAAAGCTTCATTTAAATTCAAAATTTTGAATTATTTTTTATTGCATTAAATTGAATTAAGTGTTGTTACCAAAAAGGAAAAATTGAATTAAGGCATATGTCATCCCATCTCTAATCCTTAATAACAAAATTCTTAAAGTAAAAGGTTTTAGGAAATTGTCATAGAGTGACACACATCTTATAGTGACATAATATATGTCATTAAAAACTACTTTTACCTACACAATAAATATAATATATGTTAGTATATTGTTAAAAAGTGTGGATATAAGCTATAATAACACACAAAATATGTTGTTAAATCTCATTTAAAATCAACACTAAAATTGTGTGTACTATATGTTAAATAGATATATATATATATATATATATATATATGCATACATATATTATACTTATAGTGAGACTTTTTATATTTCACTATATGTAACATTTATTGTAGTGAGTGCGTAAAACTCAAATCTTACATTCCGTCATTCAATTATTGTGTAAAGATTAAGTACGATAGTTAATGGCTATTTTGCATTCACAATATAAGCCATAACATTTTCATATTTATTTAGGAATGATAGATACAATTATATGATTTGTAATTAATAGCTACATTAAATTAATAATTATTAAAAAAATATTTAGTGTAGAGTCAGTAGTAATACCAACTTGTTAAAAATAAGTCGGGACAAGATGAGTTAGCTTGTTTGATGATAGGATGACAAAATGAATTTGAATCTTATGAGTTCTAAAATACTTTCATACAGGACGGGTAAATATCTGTTTATAAGGAGATGGATATGGAATGAGTATAAATTTGTAAAGTTTAGTAGGTGTGGGTACGAGTACTGTGGTATCCACCTTGCAGTAATATATATATATATATATATATATAATATCACTTAATAATATTTATTTATATATACTAATTAATATAATATTATTATTATTATTTTAGATCCAAGATATAAGTTGAAGTTGTTAGAGTATTTTTTTGCTAAATTTTATGCTATAGTTCATCTTTAATTAAAATTAATAATATCAAGAAATTATGCTACTCATTATTTGATGAATATAAACTAAAGCTAAAAGAATGGTGAAAAGTTCAACTTCACGAATAAATGTTAATAAGTCAAACTTAGATAATCTAAATATTAGTAATTTTCTTAGTGATTATAACTCATTTATAAATGACAATTGAAATACAAATAAAATTTGAAATAGAGTTTTACTTTTAAGAAAAAGTTTTACTTAGGAGTGATGTTTTTGACATTTTTAAATGATGTAAAAGAAATGGGATCAAGTATCCAATTTAACTGTAGCTTCAAAATTTGCATTTAATACAAAAAATATATTTTTTTAATCATTTTTCTAGGTTCCATAAATTTACTCTAGAGACATTTATTTGTACATCAAATTAGTTGAAACACAAGTAACTAGATAATAAATTATTAAGCTTTGTTTATTTGATAAAATTTTGTTTTATTTTTTATTATTAGTTTTAATTATTAATTTAAATTTTTGAATCATTCATTTTCTTGTCATATAATTCCTATTGGTATTACTGAAATAAAATAATATATAGACTTGGAAAACAAGCGTTTGCAAAAGGATGGAGAAAGTGATTCCGATGATGAGATTAACTCTCTCTACATATTTGTTTTTTGAAATTTATAGTATATAATTTAATTTATAATTTTAATCTAACTAATTTTTGTATAATTTTTTTCACAGGTCTTGGAGAATATTGTTTATATATAAATTATCATGATGTTGGAAGTTTAATCACAATTTTTATTGTGTTAATTTTTTAAAAATTTTATTTACAAGAATTGAATGTTTTATAATCTTTATTAATTTATAAGAGTTGTTGTGTTATATTTCTATAATGTAAAGATCTGATAAATTAATATTATGTTTGCTTATGTGAAATAATATCTCTTTGTTGATTTATTTACTTTGTACATAAATAAAATACATGTCGCCGATACAAATATAGGTAAATAGATACCCAATAGTTATAGAGATGAGATTAAAATTATTATCCGTGTAGGTATGGATTTTGATACAAATATTATTTTTAAACGCAAATGTGAGGACAATTATTATAAAACCTATTCAAATCCTACCCATTGTCATCTTTATTTGGTGATGAAAAAATAAATATTATAACTTGATCTATTTAAGGTTAAATTTTGACCAACCCACAAGAAACGATAAGAAAAAAGAAAGAAAAAATAAGTTTTTTTTACTTTAACTCATATTAACAAATTTAATTAAAGGAACTAAAGTATATTAATGATATATTACGTTTAGTCTAAAAAAAATTTCTTATCTTATTGTTTATAAAGTTATTTTTGCTATACTTTTTTTTTTTATTTTATCAAATTGCTATACTTAAAAATGTAATAGACTATTTTAAAAACAAAATTTATACTAGTGTTGGTGTTCTGAATATATCTCTTACGTCAACGTTTGAAATGTTGTGGCTGCATTTAGAATGATACTATTCAATGGATCAAATCTAGCACACAAAATAACTAAAGTCAGTGTATTTTTAAAAGCCTATCTAATAAAAAAAAATTGAATTTAAAATTATTCAAAAAAAAAGTTAGACCTAATAGTTTGACTTATATGAATAAATAAAAATAATATAAGATATTATTATATCATCTTTTACTTTAATATTCTATTCAAAAAACTTAAATTCTTTAGATTACTTGTTGAAAACTTTTTTTAATAATTCTGATTACAAGTAAGTTTTAAAATTAGGTTTTGGGGATGTGGGATATAGTTAACTTGAAGACGTACAATTTGCTAGGTCAATAATTAAAAAAAAGCATGTTGTTGAATTGAAAAAGCTGAAATGAAGTTATCATAATATTGCTGCTAAAACGGCCTAAGGTACGCATCATTGTTAGAGACTAATGAGTCTTTAATTCTGAACCAATGCAGATGCAGATTAATTTAACAGAGGTACTGCAATGTGTATGTAGTAGCAGTGATGAGTTATTACTTATTACAATATTAAAAACTCTTGTTTTGGTAATGAAGTGCACATGAAAAAAGCATGGAGACATGAGGCAAAAGCGCAAAGGCATGCAATGCATTTACTAAAATATATGGCGTAGATAAATAGGGTGAAACCAATTCCGGGTTTGTTGTTGTACGGATGGATTTAAATGCTGTTCCTGTTCTCTACTCACGTTTCATGCATCAACCCAACACATGCTGCCCATGTTTCGAGGCATTTAATGTTTCATATATAAGTAAAATTTCTTTTGGGATCTACTATTCTATTCATAGTTTAATTTTTTATTTTTTTTTGTAGCACATTGAACTTCCAATGTTTAAATACAATAATATATATGTAGCTGGAATGGGAAGGAAGGTTTGTGAATGTGATTACAAAGGAAAGGCTTTGAATTCATGGTGCAGGTAAGTAGGTTGCGATTGTGGAAGTGAAAGAGAAACAAATGGGAATGGACCCACTTACTCACAGTGACGTTACGTGAATCGATTGCTTCCTGTCTCAGCAAATGGACAATAGAATCTCCCAACAAGAGAACAAGGTCAAAAAGATGAAAATAATACTATAGAGATTGCAAGCGGACCACACCTCTCAGCTTCAATGTTGTATTCTTTTTATGTTCTTTGTGTTAAACTTATTATACCAAATATTTTAGAGGGAATAAAAAACACACTTTATGCCTCTGCCACTGACTTTGACCTCTGCAGAATTTCAAACTTCATTCAGACATAACTTACACAACATCCATGGCTTATTCGAATAACCACAGCACAGTTGTCTCTCTATATCCCATCTCAGAATCAATAATAGTTTATTCTATCTATCCATGAATGTTGGCCACAAAAGAAATAACAGTGTAGCTATTTTCTTAGATTATATTGTCAAACAATAATGTTTTTCGTGACGAATAATGTCTCGTGAAAAATGATTACAAATATACAAGATTCTTTTAACCACCATACAAAAAAATAAAAAAGATTAATATTAAATACTTTAATTTATATATATTTTTAAGTTATATTTATAATTATTAAAAAATATATTTTTCACTTGATTAATATATTTTCATATTAAATTATTTATTAAAAAAAACCAATACAATATACAATTTAGAGAAATATAAACGATATGGCACTTCCTAAAAAGCTCCTATAAAAAGAAACAGCTATACATTTTAACCAAGATAATTGTGTAGAAGTTATTGCTGAACAATACTCTAAAAAAGTCTCTGTAAAATTTAAAAATTAAATTCCTCTATTAAAAACATTCTTAATATATTTTACCATAAATTTTTACCTTGAATATAATTCCAATATTTCTTCCGTTAAATTCTTAACAATATCCCAAGACACCAGTAAGCAAATACCATATACACAAAAAAATAATTTGAATACTAAATTTGTCATCCTTCTAGGGGAACCAAAATTAAATATAGATAACGGGGGTCAACATTGAATTTTTAAAAAAATAAAAAGATATAGTACAACTAGAAACAGTGAAAAGTGAAAAAGTAAACAAAAAAATGAGAGGATAAAACAAGAAACGCTTGCGAATCTTTCTCGTGCTTTCTCTGCTTTTCATACCTCACAGCCCAATGCCCTCACTTTCACTGCAAAAGCTAAACCAACGACCCCTTCAATTTTAATGTTCTTCACCACCGTATAGAGTATAGACAGACCCGTATTTAATAATTCAAAAAGTAAACCACTTGGGTTGGGTTGTGTGGAAGGGAGGGGAGAAATCCCAATGAGACAGTGGCCCTCCATTTCACAACCCTGTCCCAAAATATCTCAAAATTAAACAAGAACTTGCCAAGTGACTGATTAAAAAATCAAGAATTTACCAAAAATAAATAAATAAATAAAACCTTCCGCCATCTATCCTTTCTAAATGAACTGTACACTTTCTTTATTACACCAAACTATCCACGCATTTTGAATCCAATCTCCGGAAAACATTTCCATGTCTCCTCTATCTATCATTTTTCACATCATATTCATATCCTATTTTCTGACCACAAAAAATCCACAAAACCCACCCCCCATTCACGGGAAAAAAACAAGAGAAAAAAAGACAGAGATCATTTCTATCATCCTCCATGTACAAAGATCTCCCTGCCTTCATTATCATGGCCGTGTATGTTCAAAATTCAGCCACGAAAACAACCTGCATTCAGGTGAGCACTCTTGGTTACAGCCACAGAAACAGTGGCCCGTGAATCGAACAGTCAACTGCAAGCTCTCCAACTCCATCAACGGGTTCAACTTTCAGTTATTTTTCTGGACATTCAGATCAAAACCCTTTACCATCATGACAATATTTCAGCCTCTTTTTTTTTACATACTATTACCAGTCTTCGATGAATATTCTACCCACAAAATCCCGGAACCTTTTTGAGTAGAGCTTTGGATCAACAGCTGAGATTGATGAAGGGTCAACCTGAAAGGACTTGTAAGCATGCTCCAGTTTCTTGCTGATATCGTAATCTTGCAAAATGTCAATAATCCCAAAATATAAAACAACATCGTAAGTTTCCCCACTGCAACAAGGGGTGTATCGATCAAAATCACTCCTACGCGCCATGCGCTCAGCTCTTGCAGGCATATTGGCTCCTAACCTAATCAATGATTTCCTGAAACAAGAGATATGTATAAGATTTAGTATATAGAAGAAATTCTTAATGAACAATAATGCAGAGAAAGTATGGAAAAAAAACCCAAGAAACAATCAACATTGACCAAAGGAAATTATAACCGGGCCATTATTAAATTAAGGACTCCAAATTCCTTTTAAAGAATTCAGGACCACATTATGCATGTATTCCCCACAAACAATTGTTTCCTGCTACTCTTATCCCCAACTACTCACTAAGATAATTCAAACTACTTGCAAATATTATCATGAATGTCATCAATTGAACAGGTCTACAATATTTTAGGTTTTTAAGAGACGATGGTTCCTATATATTTTTCCGGTAGGGTGGCAAAGTGTACTAAATACAAGCACAAGTCTTCTTTGTGAAGAACTAAAACTGATTCTCAAGGAATACATTATACCCAAATAGCCACTTAGACTATGGATGCAGGTGTAGCACAGCCTAATTATTCTATCAACTTGAAATAAAACATATTGATAAAGGAACCTGAACCTTTTCACATACCGGCCAGATTTAACTCGATCCCTATCCTGCAGCTCTGCTTCAAGAAAGCGGTAACCACGCATGAACTTTTCACTCTGATAAGAATCCCACTTCCCTAAAAGAGGCAATAAGGAAATAAATTTTAAGTTTTAACACTCACTATCACAAACATTAACCACTGAGTACTGAAATGAAATATGGATCAATACCGTTGCGCAAAAGAAAGGGGGACAATCCCATTTTTTCATAGGTGTTATCATCACGAAAATGAAGGCCAACTAAAAGACTGTAATCCATAATTCCCTCAGCCTCCAAGAACGCACAATCCCGCTCAATTTGTCTGCAAATAATATCAAGACAAGATTAAATTAACAAAAATGCATTAAGTTTCATTGCTAAGCAGCAGCCATGAAAGTGTTTGATAGAACACGCTAAACAACATACTTGATGAGATCCTGGAACCAATCTTTTTGAAGACGAAACACAAAATTGAGATCCAAGTCCTTGAGGGTGGTAGTTTCATCAATTTCCTCCTGGGTCTTATCTGTTGTACGGCCATGTGAAGATCCCTTCAAGTCAAATCGTCTATGGATCGGATATTCAGAGCAGAAAAGATTGCCCATCACAATAAAGCGCGTCTGTATTTCAATAACAAGAAATTTTGAGGTTCTGAGGTGCATAGAACAACGGCTTAAAAAACCACCAACTTATCTTTGAAGATATACCTTCTGGCCTCCAATTGGTTTGACACAGTGTACCCCATAGAATTTTGTGACAAGTGAATTCTCGTATTTAGAAACATGTTGGTAATAGCTTCGAAGCATCCGAATAAGCACCTGAAAGAAAATTGGCAAAGCTATAAAGACGTCCATCACCCAATGTCAAAGAAAACTCTGAAAGGAAAAGAAATAAACCCGCAACTGATTAAAAAAAATTTCAAAACTATCACATACATCTGTGTGATAAAAAAGGAATTTAACTACCTACTGCATTGGAGCGAAACTAACTAGGGCTCATTGAAATAAAAACACATGCATTCAGCTGCAGAATGTGGTTTATTGAAGCAAGCTTTAGAACTTACTATCAGCATGCTGTACATGGAAAGAAGTTTTCAAATTTAATTAGAGAACCTATTACGCATGTATCTAACCTTGACTTCAGATTTCTTCACCGTCTTTATCATAAATCTGTCATCCTGGGTCAAGTAAAAGAAGCTTCCACTTTTCCCTGGAGAGGAAAGCTCCCTGAGGGCATCATTCCCACATATAGCTAACATGTAATCAGCAGGATCCACCTGAAACAGCTTCCTCAATTGCCTGACATTCAAAACAGAATCGAGTCAACCACAAAGCAGAAGAAGGCAGAAAAAGCTAGAATGAAACTCCAAAAATATCAGCCAAGTGTTAGGGTTAAAAACAATGACAGTACCAATTGGGTGTGTAGGTTAAAATGATAAAACCACAACGAAAAAACTAAACCTAAAAACCATAGGGCAGTAATCCTTCCAGCGGAACTCCAAGGATTGATGCGGTGGAGTAATCTTAGATCCTTCAGCGGGAAACCTTGTCCAGAACTTCTCCTTGGGATCAAAATGAGCAGGCTTAAGCTGTCGCGAAAAGGAGGCTTCCTTCCCGACAGAGTACCTAAAAAGCAAGAGAAAAAGCAAATTAAAGGCGTATCGGTGAAGAGAAGCATGAGAGAATAGTAAAATGGAAACCCACCTTATACCCAATTGCAGATTAAGCATGAGATCATAATTCTTGTGGCCCTTGGATATAGTCTGGCCCGGCCTCTTGACCTCGGCAGAAGGAATCCGGCGAAAGGGCTTAACATGTTGGCGATCTGAGATGGTTGAGGTTGGAGTTCCGTGACGGTAGAGCAAGGAGACATTATCGATTATGTCACAGGTGATATCCCCGGCTTCACCCTGGGATTCCCAGATGCAAATCCTGGGTCTGGCAGAGTCGAAGTGGAAGGAGGAGGTGTTGCTGAGAGAGGGGGGCCCAGGGGCAGGGTAAAAAGTGCCGTGGAGGAGGTGCAGGTTCAGGTCCTTGCTCCAGCAGCCAACATAGGAGCTGGCGTCGGGCCAAGTGAAAACACCCTGGCCCTTGGGGACGGCGTTCTCCCAGTGGCCCTCGTAGCGGTTCCCATTGGCCCAAATGAGGGTACCCCTGCCACAGATGACGCCGTTCTTCCACTCCCCGTAGTACTCGTTCCCGTTCCTCCACACGTACCTCCCCTCCCCCTCCTGCACGTTCCTCTTCCAACACCCCTCGTAGAAATCCCCGTTGGCGTACCGCTTCTGCCCGTACCCCTGCTTCCTATCGGAGCTCCAGGACCCGCGATACGTGTCGCCCTCCGATCCCGTGAATGTCCCCAACCCCTCCATCCGACCCCATTTGAATTCCCCCTCGTAGGTGGCGCCGGAGGGCCACGAGAATTTTCCCTTCCCCCAGGCCTTCCCTCGCTTCCACTCTCCCTCGTACATACACCCGTCTTGCCAGAGATACTTCCCGGATCCGTTGGGCACGTTGGCCCAGAAGCCCCCCATGTACACGTCACCGTTCGCTAAGCGCTTCTCCACGGTGCTGTCGCTTGGCGTCACCCTCCGCGCTCCTCCTTGTGACCGGCTCCACCCGGGTACCCGCCGCCCCTCCCCCCCTGGG